GCCTCCTGCTGTGTAGGGCTCCCGGCAACAAGCAGAGTCAGAGTCACACCATGCACACGCGTCACCCAGAGAAAACAGCCTTGTTATTCAGACAGCAACTGAGGACTATAAAGCATGAAACTTCACGTCTGGGGTTTTCGAAAAGACGGAAGGGGGGTGTCTGTGAATCTGCATTTACTAGGGATGGTAGTTGAAACGGTCCCTCAACTGTCTTTCTGATCCATCTGAACAGCAATAGGGACAGGGACAAGGACCCCCCCCCACCCACATGCTGCTCTCCGCACCTGCACCTTGGCTGAAACTCCAGTGTATAACGTATTCGGCCTCAGCCCGTGGGGTCAGGAGTGACGCGACAGACACATTTGCATATGCAAATCGGAGCCTTAATCTCAAACCTGCAGCGTCTTGTTAATGCGAGAGGATGCAAAGGGGATTTGATTAAAGTATTTATGTCTCCAAAGCGGATCATTAGTTTAGCCTGAAAATAGGGACACTGACGCATAAATTACCGCGGGATAAATTTGGCGTCGGCGCTCCACAAACAGTAATAAGCCCTCAGAATAAGCGGGGAAAGTCGCGGGTGCCATTGACCCCGAGAGAACATAGGACTAAGCTTGGTGTTACTGGATAGATCACGTGTTCTGGCTGAATGACGACACCCCCTTCCCAGGTGTGGTAACCCCCCCCCACCCGGCAGCCCTTGCCTTCATCCTCTTTTTTTTTGGCTTCTTTTTCTTTGGTAGCATGCCATCCTTCTCCTGCTTCTCTTTCTTTCGGTCCTTCTTGTTATCCTTCTTCTTCTCGCCGTCCTCCTCCGAGCTGCTCGCGGTCTTCTTCTTGTGCCGCACCGTCTTCTTCGGCGGCTCCAGGTTGATGCCGGCGTCGGCCGTCCAGTCGGAGTAGTCGCTGGAGTAGTCACTGAAACACAGCAGCAGAGTAGATGGGCGTGGCCACATTCCCCAATGCTCCAATGACTGCCCCAGGGTCTCTTCGGGAGGGCGTGGCTACATTCCCCAATGCTCCTCAGATGGGCGTGGCTAAATTTACCAGTACTTCACTGGCAGTGCCAGGGTCAACTCTAATGGACATAACTACATTCCTCAACGCTCCAATGACAGCCCCAGGGTCTATTTTGATGGACACGGCTATATTTCCCAACGATCTAATGACAGGCCCTGGGTTTCCTCAGATGGGTGTGACTGCAGGCCCCAAGACAGCCCCATCATCTCTCTTACCAGAAATCTCTCCCGGTCAATCGTATCACTGCACAGAAGATACGAGCACCCCAGCAATACCTTCTGCGTAGTGATATGACTGGTGTGCGGAGTTCGGTAGAAGAAAATAGTTCTTACATTAAACTACAAAGTGTGTGGATGATCTGGTGTAACCAGGTCATGATTTGCTGTTTTTAAAATGTCATTTTTTGCCGCTTTAATCACCAAACAATGCCATTCGCTCCAATTATACTCGAGAGTAGACTGACATTTCAATAGCCAATACCTCCAAAATTAGGCCACTCCCACCAGCACAATATAGATGGCTAGATAGTAGTAAAGTCCCTCTAAAACATAACATGTTTCCAGTTTTGGATGAACTGCTCCTTGAAAAGACACAAACAAATTACCAGCCCCTTCATTAGTTGTTTTTCCACAGATTGCTGCATTAGATTTTGTCACCATTGTCACCATTGCGTGATGTGTGGGAGTGGTACCCACCTGGAGCTGCTGTTGTCGTCCGGCCAGGGCTCATTCTCTTCCTTCTCCTCGTCTGAGCTCTCCCTGCTTGGGGGCCGCGCCTCTCCTTCACCCTACGCCACAGAGAGTGGGGCTGATCAGAGCATGCTGGGAAAACGGGGGATGGGTAGGTGGCCAAGCCGTGGTGCCGTACCTCGGAGGAGCTGTTGTCATCCTCGGCCTGCTCGCTCTGCCGGCTGTTCTCCTCCACGGCGGCTCGAGTGTGGTAGTTGTGCTGGTTGGCCAGCGGGCGGCGGTTCTCGTCGTTCGCTGGCTCGGGGGGGCAGCGTGGGGAGAAGGTCTACGGCAAAGCGGCAAGGGTTTGAGTAGTTGCCGTGCGAGCTTACGTGATACAAAATCGAGCGCCGGACCAAACGTTCAGCTCCATAGGCGTAAGCTGTTCTTGAGTGATTTAATTTTATTTACCTGAATGACAAATGTGTGCAGTTTACCTGGCTGTTAATGAGAACAACACTGTTCTGCAGTGCACTGTTCTGCAGTGCACTGTTCTGCAGTGCACTGTTCTGCAGTGCACTGTTCTGCAGTGCACTGTTCTGCAGTGCACTGTTCTGCAGTGTGTTTAAGTAAGCATTTGTACACAAGGAGAGGCTGGTGCGTGACCTCGGCGGCCCTACCTTGGGCTCGCGGTGAAGGTGGCTCGCCAGAGATCTCCGCCGCCGCTCGCTACGATAGCTGCTGATCTCCTCGTCGCCCTTGGCCGCCCTCCACACCTCCTGCTTACTGCACACACACCAAGGAGGTCTTCTGTCACACACCATTCCGTATCATCCCACGGCGTGTTTATAACAAACACCACATCGGAGTCCTTACAGCTGCTATTAAAGGCAGCCACCGGTGCTCAGGAATGACCCCGATTTGAGGCAACAGACGTCGTACTTGGACCACAAGCTGGTCTGTGCTGGATCGCTAAGCAGGACCCCGAATGGTACGGGATACATATGATGACTCATGCCTCAGCTTTCTGGAGTGTGACGTTCCGGGGATGCCGGATCTTTTGGAGCACCGCCTCTAAGGGGAAGGAACGCCCAGCAAAGGCAGCATGACGTACGTGAGCCCGGCTCGGGAGCAAGGGACCCCCCTCCCCAACACAGCCGGCATGGAAGCACAGGGGACAGGGCTGCTTGAGCCAACGCTCAGGATGTGGCATGTCTGCTAGGGCGTAGCTTTATAGGGGGTGGGGGTCAGTGATACTGGGTGCATCCAAAATCACGTACTTACATAGTATGTACTAGGGGTGGGTGATATAACATAAAATTATCATGGTATTTTTCACTTTTTGGACGGTGACGGTATTATATCGCAGTATTAGCATGTCCTGCCCCTTTATGTAAATAAAAATAATTTTGATAATATATTAAGTACATGGAATGTATCATTTTCAATTGGGAGACATGCGAGAGTATCAGCATTTATTTTGCAATAAGCCTCAAGATCCTGATTTTAACTTTTATGTGCTACAGCAAAACTAAAATTGCCTCTTCATATTCATAGACATGCATGTTTTTAAGTGATGGAACAGGCTGCTTGTGTTTCGACCTCGTGCTATGAAGACATGGTGACAAAGCTTTTGCTTAATTCTTAAGTTTGCTCCGCGTCTGACGATTTAAAAATCGAGCCAGTTCCAAATTACAGAGGTGCCCCGTGTTTTGGAATCAGTCTCCTCTCCTGGTGATGCCTCGGCTGGTTCCGAAATTCTACCCGTCGTTTTTTTATTCCTCTTTCCCAACCTTTAGGAACTTTATGCCTAGCTTTTTATCACGCGTTAATGCGGCAGTTGTGCCTTTTACCACGAACCTATATATAAATTAAAAAAAAAAAAAAAAAAAACAGATTTTTGTTTTATGTGCACTTACACAAGATGTTTATGTTTGTGAATTTTTACCCATTCCTGACAATAGTCTCCTCCATCTTTTGTGTAAACATATTGGTTCTGGCCTCCACTCTTCTTCCCCCTTAAAATATTTCGATTTGGTTCGTTCCTTTAAATTCATTGGCCACAGCCTGGCGCGCTCCTTTTAATCTGTGTGCTGCGGCGAGGTGAGTACCTGTCTGCATTTAAGTGCTTATTTTTATGCATTTCGGTACTGTGGTGAGGAGGTGAAGCCCGGGATTTTAGTTAATGTGGAGGATTGGTTTCATTTTTATTTCCTTCTACCTGTCACTGTCTAATAAAAGGAGTGACTCTCCGGATATATCCAGCATTAGAGCATGTTTAATAGAAAATCCACACAACGCAGATAAACTGTTTCCATATACCTAATAAGGATTCAGATTGCAACTGAGGCTTTGAAGGAGATAAAATGCTGTGTTTTTAGAAACAGGCTGTTGTATAAGTAGGCTATTGACTTATGGCAGTGTTAACGGCATAGTGGCACAGTCACACTGGTAATGACTATGGCACTGGTGCACCGCCCACCCCTAGTATGTACTGAATTTCATTAGATGCATGCTTCTGGACCATTACTGTAGTGCATACAGTATGTATGCATGAGAACAGTACACATGGACGTACTGCGGTTGCTGTCTTGACGTGGCAGTGATCCCAAGATCACCCAAGATTTAAAAACTCTTAACTATCAAAAAAATAAATAAAATACAACATATTCAAGTCAACTTCTGTAAGTGTGTATTGCTGTCATTGTCTATGGCTGCCGCCCCAGCGGCCTTGTGGGACAGCATAGCGTCCATGGGTTGCACACTTCGAAATTTAGCCAAAAAAGTGGGCAGATGGGGCTTCTAGATCCAGATCATACCTGGCGATGCCAGCGGCCAGCTCGGGCACCAGCACGCGGCGACTCCATGCCACCAGGTCCCTCTCTGTGGCGATCTCGCTCCGAGGGGCGTTGCTATGCATCTGCCGCACGCCTTCTATCTGCCCGCTGCGTCGCAAGCCCACGTTGGGTGGGGAATGCACCTCTGTGGGAGAGCTCACAGAGCCTGGAACACAGCAGGGTCACAGACCAATCAGACTCAAGTGGATGCGCGGATGGAACACAGTCAGGAGCCAATCAGGTGTAAGGAGGCGGGACCAAATGCTAAGCCAACATTTAATACTTATACATCTCTGATACAAATGAAATATTCAAGATAGCTCGATATTCATCAGCATTATTTAGGAAAGTAGATGAGTCTGTATGTGTACAGGTTGGTGGGTAAGTCAAAGAGAAACTGAACGAGAGGGAGGCTCTCAGAAAGCGCTGGCAAGGCCGGGGACATGAGTGGTTACGGTAGCCACCTCTGGTAGCCCTACTGGGGGCGCTGCCTCCCCCATCCCCAGACAGCCGCTGGTCCTGCTCCTGCTGTAGCCGTTGGATCATGTTGTCCAGTGGGCTGGAGCCATCACCTGCCTGCTGGCTCAGGACCTGGTTCAGACCTGGCAGAGGGAGCATGCGGGTCACCCACAGGCAGGGAGTAGGGGGTGGGGTGGCCTGCCACTGTCCATGACAGGTAAGGTAAGGAGCATGCACTGATTACAGCACCTTGCCGCATCCACCACACGACAAACCACCTCTGGGATGAGAACCTGAGTGCAGCCATGCGGCAGGTGATACCTCAACACCACTCTAGTCCAAATGGACCCACGTGTGGCTAGAGTGCCGATCCTGCCACCAACCCCCAAGTTATTACCTGTAAGTTGGACGTCCTTATAGGGCTGGATGTCATACCCAGAACAAAGCAATTGCAGGTTAAGGGCCTAACGGAGTAGAATATGGGGATTCACGGGATTTGAACCAGCAACCTTCCAGTTCCTGGCACAGATCCCTAGTCTCACAGCCTCCACCCCGCCCCATGAGCTGCTCCAAAATAGGATCATTAAATGCATTTACTGCTGGTTTAAGTCACTTAATTAAATGATAAAAATGATAAAAACCATTAAAGCAGAAAAAACCTGGATGAATCAGAGGGACCACGGTGACTCCGACACAGATTAAAAATAACTCCACAGCAGAATAACACAAACACACTGAGATAAAGGACACCTGGAATGGGTTACTTTATATGTATAGAAGATCAGACAGAGCGCATCTGTAATTGGCCAGTTAAGTTTAAACAACAGGAGAGCATATAAAAAATACAGCTGTGTCCCCATATGATGCCACCCCCTCCCTCTTCTGAAGGCCTAGACGAGGATGTGACCACACCCCCCTTCCCCTTTCAAGGCCTACTTGAGGACGTGATCGGGCCTCCCCACCCCTTCTGGAGGCCTACCCGAGGATGTGATCGGGCCTCCCCCCCCCTTCTGGAGGCCTACCCGAGGACGTGATCGGGCCTCCCCACCCCTTCTGGAGGCCTACCCGAGGACGTGATCGGGCCTCCCCACCCCTTCTGGAGGCCTACCCGAGGACGTGATCGGACCTCCCCACCCCTTCTGGAGGCCTACCCGAGGACGTGATCGGGCCTCCCCACCCCTTTTGGAGGTCTACCCGAGGATGTGATCAGGCCTCCCCACCCCTTGTTCTTGAGGGCTACCCGAGGATGTGACCCCGCCTCCCCCCATGAGGGCAACCCGAGGATGTGACCCCGCCTCCCCCCTACGAGGGCA